TTTTTTTTCATCATCATTCTCCAGGCCCCCTGTGTATTACTCTTGCTTTTTTTTTGAAATTTTATTAAACAAAAAATAAGATTACTGTTATGCAGACTACTGCAATACTGTAATAATTGTAAAAATTACATCAACCCATTCATGACTGCGTATTAGAATGGCTATTTGGACATTTATTGGACAATGACATCATTTGTTCACTTTTGAACATCGGCAAAAATCAAACATTTCCTGTACTTTGTGCTCCATTTCCAGGTTCTTTTTATAGTAAAATTAATCAAAATCACCTCCATTTCTATAATATAGTTTCCATTCTATCAAATGAGACCAAGAAAAACGAGAATTACAACCACAAATACTATACGAAAATAGACCACAAAGTCGGCATTTTAATTAAAAAAAACGGTCGGAGTTTTTTTTTTTCTCATTATGCACTGCGTGCTCCAGGATTTTTTTTATGTGGTGCACACTGACCACACAGACCCCATTCTCTCACATGTGGGCCTACTAGCTTTCTCCTGCCTGATTTGAAGCCGCTAGAATTTATGAGTATATATACGTCAAACACGGTACCTCGCAAACGTATATATACGGCCGCGACAGTCAAAGGGTTAAAGGTACAGTACATAATTTCAGGTTATGCTTATTCACCTGACTTTAAGTTCTCAATTTCTAAAACTAGCTCTTGCTTTTTCTTGATGCCTAGTCATCTCCTTTCTTTCAGTGTCCTTATATGGTTCTCCTATTACAGCTTGACAAGTAATTAAGTTTTCTCTATCACCATTTTTATTATCATATGCTGTGGAAACATTAACTCTTTAGGATGAATATCATAAAAGATTAAAATAGCTGAAATTTTGTTGCACCATTCTTAAGGACTGATAGATGGACCTTGCTCCATCTGTACTTAGCCTTGGTCTTGTCCAAAATGACTGTTGGAATCAGGTATATCTGTCAGCTACTACTGTTTCTGAGCTAATTGTCATTCATAATCAGAAATTGTATTTATGTTTAAGTCTTTCAGTAATCCACATTTGAAAGCCTGTATGTAGTGCCTAATTTCTTTGTTATCATGTTCATTTTTATAATTTTTCGTGATCCAACAATCTATATAATTACAATGGATGTCAGTAAAGCTTTCAGATTTAATTGACACCCATGCTTTATTCTTATCCCTACAAACTCTTGTAGAATCCTGAGGCATGCATCCTCTTTCTGTTCTACCTATTCCTTACTTTTCCCTATTGCTCTGGGTAAGTCTTTGATTCAGGTTTGCCCTTCTCTTCTGACATTACCGGTCTCAAATTTTGACTTTGGAATTGTGCCTGCTCTTTCTTGATTATTTCAATAAAACTTTGATGCTACAGCTGTATATGCTGAAGATTTCACACCTGATGGAGTATGATATGCATCTTCTTTCCTAATCCTACGATCCAAGGCCAGTAATCACAATGACTTATAACTTCACAACAGACTTGTTTGCTCTTCTCGCTGCTGTTATCCACATAGTTACCATGATTGCCATATCCTTTTTCATAGCCTCAACTCTCTGAATACATTACAAGCAATTCATACCTATGATTCCTTGCATTCCATAGTCATTTGCATTCAGTGTTGGCTGTGCATTGCAGATGCTGCAATGCATTCTTCAGTTCAGGACCTTCTGCCTTTTGCAAGTATTGACCATTCTTTGATTATTTCCAGTTGTCACTCAACTCTTGCAATATTACTGTAGCATCATTGATCCTCATTTGTGATGCTTTTTTCTTTCATCAAGTCACAATTGAGCTTTTAACCATAGTCCTTTCCTTACTTCCTCTATGTTGACCACACTAGACTCATGCATGGTCATCTCATGGAACATGTGTAGATCGATTATCTTATTCATCAAAGAGCATGCCAGCTTGGTTTCTGATGCCTTCTCCAATATCCTGTCTTGCTTGCTCTGCCCAACCTCTCTCTGATGCACCCATATTTGTTTCAGATGCTCTTTGATTTCCTAACTAACACAGGTTTGCCTCATCAACTCTAACCATTATTCTTTCAGCTTCTTTCTCTCTTCATCCTCCATCTCTCTCTCCCTGTCATGCAACTTTGTGTGTAACCCTTATTGGTTTAGCACTTTCCACGAATATAATAATCATCCTCCCTGAGATACTTCTGGTTTCTTCTCTTCTTGCCTTTTTCAGTGCCCTGATGAGACTGCTTGCTTGTTTTTTGGCAGACTCTAAGAAAACATAAGAAGTGTTTGTTTTATGGACATTAACAAGACTTCTCCCTTATGTTAAAGACCATTCCTATCATATAAGTTGCCTCTTTGGCTAACTACTTATCCCTCTTCTAACTTTTACAGATTTCTCCTCTTATACTGAGCCTTTAAAACATTCCTTATCTGAATCTATTCCTGGTATTGTTTCTGTTAGTGCTTGCCTTTCCCAGTACATTGTTAGATGATCTAATTCTTAGGAAACAGTGACTTAATCTTACCTTGGTTGTCTTATCACCTCTTCATCTGACCTGTTATCTGGTTTTCACACCTTTTCTTGCTTAAGTATGACTTGATAATTATCCAAGGTACACTGAAATGTAATCATTATCATCTCCAAATTATTGGTTAACTGTGAATAATCACATTAGGCTGCTTAACTTTGTCACATTAAGCTACTTACAGTAATTATCTTTTTGCTTGGTGTTATCTAACAATTTTGTTACTGTTATTTAAGAATTTCATCATAAAATTTTTTTGTTTGATCTTTTCAGTGTAAATGCCCGTTATGGTGTCATGGGAACTCCAACATTACTTCTGTTTCATAATGGCAATGGAGTTGGACGATATAATGCCTCTGAATACTCCGTGGCCAGCTGTTGTCTTTATTAAGGCATTATACAGACCAGGAAATTGTCAACATTAATGTCACTTCATCAGACTTCCGGGTATAGTTCATATATTAGGTAGATGTATTCATGAGTGGGATTGTGTGAATATTTGTGTTTGTGTGAGTTTTGTATTTTTTTTGTTTTTTTTTAATTTACTTGTGTGTATTGTGCATGCTGCTTGCATGCATATGTGTACATGCGTATACATAGAAATACCCACCACCTTACCTTGGTGGGGGATGGCTAGTGTGATAGAAGAACAAAAAGACATTGTCCTCTTTTAGAAGGCATCCAAAGTGTGAGTGATAGTGGCTTTTTTTCTTTTGGGGGCACATTGCATAGGTTGGAAATGGTCAGTATAGTACTTAAAAAATTATATCTTGCCCTAATCTACTCCTCCCATAGTTTTTTAAACTTTCACCTCTCTCCCCTTTCCTGGGAGAATGGTGGGCTAGTGGGAGTATAGGTAGTACAGGGGTTGAAAGGGGTGGGTTTGTATTAAAAATGCAGTACAGTAAGGCCCCGCTTTACAGCGTTTCGCCTTACAGCGTTCCGCTAATACGGGGATGTCAAATTATGACCAAAATTTGCTATACGGCAAGCGGTCTTTTAAATAGGCACCCCTCCACCCGGTTTGTTTACATTTTCCGTGGCCACATCTATTATGTCAGGAAACTTTCCAAAATTTCAAGTGTTTTAAAGTTACTGCATATTTTATATGTACTCTGATAATTAAACTTATGTGTACCTGTACCTAAAAATACTTACACACTGTGCTGGTGTGCAGGTACAAAATTAAAATCGCAAAATCCTCTCTACCATGACGCCAATATTACGTAAAAATAATCACTCTTGGGGACACTAAATGTCTTATTTTACATTTAATATAGGCATTTTCATTAATCCATCAAAGAATTTTCCCCAAAATTATATATGAAATCCATTATGTAGCATATAAACATGATATATAACTCAGAATTAAAAAACTGATGTAAAAAGGGGATTTGTTTACAAAGCAGCTGTGTAGGGGGTGCCCGGAAGAATTACGTTTCTCTGTCAAAACTGGGGGGAACTGTAAAAAATATTCTTTTCGTTTCCTTTACTCGTGTAAGCAATTCACGACCTTTGGGGGTTTTATGCTTTTTAAATAAATAATAAAAATTATTATATTTTAATTTTAATAATATATTATTATTAATTTTAATAAAATAATAATAATAAAATATTATTATTTTTATTTTATTGCTAAATTATTATCTTCATTCACTTAAAAAGATGTGTTGCGTTTGTTTATTCTGAACTAAACTTGTACAATTTGTACAAAATGTAAAGTTTTTGTATTTGAGGAAATTATTATTAAAATAAAAAAATTGGGGTAAATGTTTTACAAACTTTACAAGGGACGTAATAACAAAAAAGTAACCATATTAATACGCATTTATTTCCCCCTGCCCAAAGTGATGTCCACTATTTTCAGTTGTGTTCTTACATTGTCTCAACTCGTTTCGTTCTCCCCTTTTCTTTTACTCTTTCGTTAACAGTTGGCTCTTTGACGAGGGCGTTTATTTAGTTGTAATAAAAAAGAAGTCGTAACCTCTTGCTTTAGGTGCCAAGTTAGGGGATGATGTGTGCTTCTGATTTTATTCAATAAACACCCTCCCACTCACCTCTCCACTTTAATTTTAATTTTTTTAAGGGAAATAAAAGTGTACTCTGTGTTTCTTCCCTTTTTTTGTTTTTAATCCTTTTTTTATTGCTAACTTAATATAATTTAGGTAAATTTCTTGCTGGCATTTTTGCATATTTTATATGCCTGATAATAATCTTGTGGAGCCGGGGTGGAGAGACAACTTTTACTTTTTTCTCTGCTCAGCCATAAAGGAAAACTGTTGAATCTGCGTTTGGCCGCCTTTCCCCACTCGCCTTTTTTACAATTTCAGCTAAATTTAAAATTTCTTCTTCTACCTTCGTTTATGATGGCATCTAAAAGGAGTTGTTAAAAAAAAGTTAAAATTCAGGAACAAGGCGTCGATTTTAATAATATGGCTTGGGCACAGGTAGTACCCGTAGGTTACCCCGGGCTAACCTACCGGCTACCTACACTGATTTTATACAAATAAATACTACTCACCTCTCTTCCTTTTAAGACTACAAAATTTTTTAAAAGGTAAAAATGAGTGTACTTATTGCATTTTACCTCTCGGGGATGTTTTAAATATCGTATTAAGTATAAAAGGGGGAACCATCCCCCCCTACCCCGGGGCAACCGACCGACTTCCTACAAATAAGTCTACTCGCCTCTCCCCCTACATTCAGTTAAAAATCTTTAAGATAAGTAATGAATTTACTGTGACTGTATTTTACTTTGTGTTTTTTTTAATGCCTAGTTTTTTTTTACAACTTAATAAATTTTTGTAAACTTTTTGTTGGGGTTTAATCATTTATAAATGGAAAAAATGGAGTTCTGCTTTCCGGGAGTCTGCTTTCCGGGGAAGCCTGGAACCTAAAACGCCCTAAAGGGGGCCCTACTGTATTAGAAAGCAGGGCAGAAGTTTTGGAAGAAAAAGGTGGGTGCTGGGGGAAAGAGGGGTGATTGGGGGAACGATAGGTGAATGTGCAATAAAAGAGAAAAATTTCTTTCGAGAGGTTTTACAAAACAGAAGGGGAAGAGAATAAGAAATTGTAAGAGGCAAATGGGAACAAAAGAAAGAGTGAGTAGGTGCTGTCAACAAATTTGTGAGAATAACAAAAAAAATTTTGGAGTGGATAAAAAGCTTAAGAAGCCAGGGAAAAAGTGGGTTTGACAGTTACAAACAGAAGGGGGGTTGGGGTATTGGGAAGATGGCAGGAAATTTTGGAACTGTTTTAAAGTTGATGAAGAGGGGAGGCATAATTTATCATTGGCAAGGGAATGCGAGTGTAGGGTAGGTGTGGGGAGGGATTGGGTAGAATAGAAGGATGTAAAGCACTGGAACTAATGGGATCATGACGAAATGTTAAAAACAGGGGGGATATAGTTTTGGAGTGTCGGTAATTTGTTCAATAAATATATAAAGTGGGGGGAAAGGGACCTAGAGACTGGTAGAAATCATTCGTATTCCTTTTTTAAAGGAAGGGGGACAAAAGAGTGTAAAAAATTTAGGGAAAAAGCCCACTAGTAAACCGGGGAAAATGTGGGAGGTTATTAAATTTAAAAAATTAGGTTAAGCAAGGGGCAGGGGAGTGAACAAGGGGGGCTTTGAAAGGGAGGGGGTGGAGACAAAGTGTTTACTTGAAGCTATAAGTGGGAAAATATTTAGATAAAAGGGAGGGGAAAATTCTTCTTTATAATTGAAAAGGCTTTAATAGGGATGGGGGAGCAATGGGGAGATGTTTCAAGTGTAGGGAAAAGTGGTAATTTTCAAGCTGTAAAGGTTTTTTAGGATAGGAGGTTTTAGGTTTGGTTATGTAAGCCACCATGGTAGTTTAACGTATTTATGATGGCTTGTAAAAGAATAAAAGCTAGGATTTGGGGAGAGAGGATGATTAAAATTTGTAGGTGGATTTAAATACAAAAAGGGTTGAACATTTTCTTTTTGCTGATGAAAGTGCCTTTTTTGGGGGATTCTGAAAAAAAATTGCAAAATTATGGAGAGTGTGGGAGGGTGTGGGAAAGGAAGAAGTTGAAAAGGAAAATAAAAAAGAGTAAAGGTGGAGGGTATCAAACAATTTTGAAAGGAAAAAATTTGGGAACAGATTGGAGGGAAGGGAGTATGAAGAAGGAATATGTTCAGAATGTGGGAGTAAATTGCAGCAGAGAAGTTTAGAAGGGCGAATAAAAAAAACCCTAGATCTGAGAAAAAAGTGGGTGGGTATTAGGTACAGTGTAGACAAAAACTTTAAGTTAGTGGTTCCAACAAACTTATAGGGTGGGGTATGAGTTTGTGATTGTTGTAGCGAGAAGGAGGTTGGAGACAGTGGAATGTTTGTCAAGGGCAATGTGTAGTGTAAATATTAGCAGAGAATTTAAATGTGAAATTTGGAGGAGGGGGGGGGGGGGGTTTACTTAAGCAGCCTGGACGCACCTAAAGTCGGGACTTGACCACCGGGGGGTGGCTCGACATTGGGTTGCGTGCAGCAGCGAACAAACCCCGGTTGATCACTCGATCCACCATGAGGCCTGGTCATAGACTGGGCCGCAGGGGCGTTGCCCCCGGAACTCTCTCCAGGTAAACTCCAGGCTGCTGAGGAGGGGTTTGTTGAGGTGACCTGGTCATTTAGAGAGGTTGGTGCAAAATAGAATGACTTGGAGGGTGTTTAAATCTGTAGTGGAGGGAAGGAGGGGTATGGGTCATCCTAGGAAAGGATAGAGGGAGGGGGTAAAAGAGGTTTTTGTGTGCAAGGGGCATGGACATATAGCAGGCATGTGTGAGCTTGTTAGATGGGAGTGAATGGAGATGAATGGTTTCTGGGATTTGACGAGCTGTTGGAGTGTGAGCACGGGTAATGTTTTGCGAAGGGATTCAGGGAAACTGGTTAGCCAGACTTAATCCTAGAGGTGGGAATATAATCCCTGCACTTTAAAGGAGGGGTTTGGATATTTGCTGTTTGGAGTGACTTCTAAACTGTCATATCTGTAGTGGCTCTGCAAAGGCAATGATTGTGTGTAAATGATGGTGAAATTTTTTTTTTCTTTTTTTGGGTCATCCTGCCTCAGTGGGATATGGCCAGCATGTTAAAAAAAAAAAATTGTTGAACTTTTACTCAGTAAAAAATTAATATTGCAGTTGCAATATAAATGTCTGATGCTATGAATACAATTTTTTTTCAGGCCACCCTCCCAGCACAGGTAGCAGAAGGACGCCCATATGCCCTCTGGGCAGCATGGACATTTCTCATTAGCTTTGCTTCATGGTTATTCTTAACATCTGAAATATGTGCTAGACTTACTGAGGCAATATTAAACAACTGGCGAGAGGCTGAAGCACAGAATGACCACCAAGACTGATACTTGCTTTAGAATAAGAGAGCAAGTTTTCTTTAATTGTTGCAGAAAGGAAAAACAAATGTAATTATTTTTAATCATTAACCCAAATTTAGAGAGGAAATTTAGCATTTTGGCTCATCCTGGATTATTATCAAGTCACAGTTGTTCATGACACTCTCAAATGTCATCTGGAGTTTTTCAAATGACAGGTTAATTGCAAATTATTTTTAGCCATGATATTGTGATTTATTCTTTTTAATAAATTTGTATGTACAGTGGTACCATGACTTACGAGTGCCCCAACTTATGAGTTTTCCCGAATTTCGAGTCGTTGCTCGATCAGTTTTTTGCTTTCAGTTATAAGCGAGCTTCAGATACACTGCCATTTGCAGGAGATACCGAGGAAATATCACAAACTTTGATAATAACCAATGTGTAACATCCTTTCAATTTTGATGCAACTGGTAGTGTCATCCTGCCAGAATGTTCTATAACGCATGCCCTAAGTAAAGAGAAACAGTTCTGGAACATGTGTAATACATGTTTGGCAGGCCGGCTGGTTGGGTGGCCAGTTGACTGGCCAGCTGGCTGATTTGATTTGGCTGTCTGTCTGTATCTATCTCTGTCTCTGTGTCTCTGTCTATCTCTGTCTCTGTCTATCTCTGTCTCTGTCTCACAAGTACACATAAATACAGTTATACATAGTGTAAATTATCTAGGATAACCCAAAAAAATCCAGACAAAGTGTTACACTATGCTTATAGATATAAGGCATAATAAGCATGACTGGCAAGTAATACACATTTTCACTTGTTCAGGAATCATGTGTGACAACTCTGCATCATGTGTAATACCTGCTGGTTCATGAATGGCTCTCTCTGAGACAGAGAGACAAGTAGAGAGACAGGAAGTCAGAAACACAGGCAGACAGAAAGGCATATAAGCAGAGACAGAGATAAACATAGACAGATAGACAATGTTTATGTGTAACAGTGAAAAATAAGGCCAAGGCAGTGCATGACCATCAAATATCACTCCACTGCTGCCCTGTCAGCAGTGGAGTGACACTCATCTTACACTGTGCTTCAAGGAGTTTCATATATACTCCAGCATTTCTTAAACATTCCTGGGAACTGACAAAAATCATTTCTTTTTTATAAATACAGTTTTCTTCTTTAAAAACCTGTAAGAAAAAAATTGGGTTTTTTTTTGGGGGGGGAACTGGAACAGATTAATGGCATTTCAGTAAATTTCATTGAGGAAAATTGATTTGATATACGATAAATTGAGTCACTAGCTGGGTCACGGAACAAATTGAACTCATAAGTCAAGGTACCACTGTATTAGAGTTTTCAAGTGAGTCAGAAGCTCAAGTAGAAAGTTTGTCTGTACATAAGTAATAACTTAAATAAATATATTTATTTAGTCAAGGCTTTTTTTTTTTCCAAATTGCCTATATCCCACTAAGGTAGAATAATCCAATAGCTGTATTGCCAGAAGTGCATTTACATCACAATTCTAATAACCTTCTATATTGCAACATCCATCCTTTTACTCTTGAGTGTTTGTGGCAGGCATTACACTTTCCACCTCCAAAACTCTAGTTCATTTAATCATTTTTTCCTGAATTCCTACTTAAATGTTACCTTCAGTACCCATCATGTTGTATGTGTAGTGCAGGTTAACGAGACTACTCAAGCTTGCAATTTTACAAAATTACAACCTTAAACAACAATCTTGTTACTGTTTTCAGACAAACTCTTTTAATACATGATATCTAGCAGTCTTTCTATTTCAACTGTCCATCAGCAAACATTTGCAGAGCATACATGATACTTTCCAGTAACTACAACTGCAACTGCTACCCATCTTCAAAATAGATACCTAAGTCTGGCCTGGAAAGGCGAAGATAAATATTCAAATATTCTTACCAAGTTAACCTTTGAGAGGTGTTAGCTTCCCTCTATGGTTTATTTAGCAGGTAACTACTTAACACCTAGGTAGTAGGTTGGTAGACAGCAACCGCCCAGGGAGGTACTACTGTCCTGCCAAGTGAGTGTAAAACGGGTCCTGTAATTGTTTTACATGATGGTAGGATTGCTGGTGTCTTTATTCTGTCTCATACATATGCAAGATTTCAGGTGCATCTTGCTACTTCTACTTATGCTTAGGTCACACTACACATACATGTACAAGCATATATATACACACCCCTCTAGGTTTTCTGGTTTTTTTTCTAGTTCTTGTTCTTGTTTATTTCCTCTTACCTCCATGGGGAAGTGGAACAGAATTCTTCCTCCGTAAGCCATGCGTGTTGTAAGAGGCAACTAAAATGCCAGGAGCAAGGGGCTAGTAACCCCTTCTCCTGTATAAATTACTAAATTAAAAAAGAGAAACTTTTGTTTTTCTTTTTGGGCCACCCTGCCTCGGTGCGATACGGCCGGTGCGTTAAAAGAAAGAAGAAAGAACTACTTAACAGTAGAGGAACTCTTGTCAACTCTTGTCAACCATTTTGGACACCCTCTAAACATTTTCAGTCTTGTACAGGTTGCCCTCCCTATGCCTTCCCTACTAATGATGGCAAAACCTTTTAAAATGCCTATTCCTTATCTGAATTGTGCTTGAACTCTTTCAGCCTATTTCCATTCATTCTCTGCATTCTTTAAGGAACACAAGATCCACCTCCTAAAACAGGGCATGGCCATATCATTGACCATCTCATAACTGGGCTGCCCAGGTATTCGTATGTTTTAATGGCTTTTCAACTAATGTCTGATACACATACTTCTTCTCTATCTTGTGTACCTGGAGTTTACCTGGAGAGAGTTCTGGGGGTCAATGCCCCCGCGGCCCGGTCTGTGACCAGGCCTCCTGGTGGATCAGAGCCTGATCAACCAGGCTGTTGCTGCTGGCTGCACGCAAACCAACGTACGAGCCACAGCCCGGCTGATCAGGAACTGACTTTAGGTGCTTGTCCAGTGCCAGCTTGAAGACTGCCAGGGGTCTGTTGGTAATCCCCCTTATGTGTGCTGGGAGCAGTTGAACAGTCTCGGGCCCCTGACACTTATTGTATGGTCTCTTAACGTGCTAGTGACACCCCTGCTTTTCATTGGGGGGATGGTGCATCGTCTGCCAAGTCTTTTGCTTTCGTAAGTGAGTGATTTTCGTGTGCAAGTTCGGTACTAGTCCCTCTAGGATTTTCCAGGTGTATATAATCATGTATCTCTCCCTCCTGCGTTCCAGGGAATACAGGTTTAAACCTCAAGCGCTCCCAGTAATTGAGGTGTTTTATCTCCGTTATGCGCGCCGTTGAAAGTTATCTGTACATTTTCTAGGTCGGCAATTTCACCTGCCTTGAAAGGTGCTGTTAGTGTGCAGCAATATTCCAGCCTAGATAGAACAAGTTTACCCGAAGAGTGTCATC